TATTCTAATGTAAGCGGCCGATCGACCAATCAGAGCAGAGCAGGCTCTTGGAAAGGCGGGGTTTAGAGAGACTGAATCTTTGATCGAAGAGGGAATGTGTAATGTGTATTATGAGAAAATGAAAGTGTTTTTTGACCTTGGATGCATGTAAACCTGTTGCAGGAGACTCCAAAACAAAATGAGGAACCTTTAAAATAGCATAACAAGGGAACTTTATGCTTTGTTAATGTAAAGCCTTTTTACCAGGCCAAAAAGCCACGTGAATTTTGAGAGACAGTGAGTTAGAGACAGTTTGAGAGAGTCAGAACAAGAACGTTTGCAAGCATTAAAATTCCTGTCATCCACTGCAGATTTTCCCACCACACTTGGGCGCGAAAGGCCTAATTTTTAAGGGGCTCATCACACACCACACACACACACACACACACACACACACACACACACACACACACACACACACACACACACACACACACACACACACACACACACACACACACACACACACACACACACACACACACAAGCAGCTCAGACTCAGGGATTTACTCTCTTCTGCTTAGTGAGTTTTCTATGATCCTGTAATTGAGTGTTTGGTTCTCGCTGCACTTCTGCATCTTTCTTCTCTGCTCTCACACATTAGCCATGACATTTGCTATTCACTCCTGTTTGATTCATTTCATAGGGGATAATACTGTGGATGTGGAGAAAAACTCTCAGAAAAACACATTTACACACACATTTAAAGTAGAAATGATTTGCCCATGCACATCACTATTTTTTAACTTCATGTTCCTGGTAATCTTGAATCAGAATAAGTTCCTCTCGCAGCATCTCTTCTCTGATGATGTGGGTGGGGCTAAAACCTGTCACTCACATGAGATCAGCCTAGCAAACCACAACCATCCAATCAATTCCTCACGGACAAAATCAAGCCCCGCCCACATTTGTTCTTGTTCCAGAAGCGTTTCACTCGTATATACGGCAGAATAGGGAAGGAAAAGACGAGCACAACTTCCCTTTAATGCTGATTTTAACTTAATCTTAATCGTTTTACTCGTTCTTTGGCCAGTTTTGTCTCTCAGGAACATGCTGGACCACCACTGAGTCTCAAACATTTCTGTCTTTCTATCAAACGTTCTGTCGTTCTTGTTGAGAGTGGGTGAATATTCTCCTGTGACCTTTGAATCACATTATACTTGAAGGTTTGTGACCTTCAGCTGCTCCAAATTCATTGACTATAAAATCCATCATTCACGGGAGAATATGTGTGTTTGTGGGTTTCTCTGTGTGTGTGTTTGTGAGTTCTTGTCTAGCTGACAAGGATCCTTTCTGTGCAAAATCTTCTGCGTCACATTTCCAGCCGGATTTAACGTTAAAAGTAAACAGATTCCTCCTGATTCCACATGTTAACAGCGTGTCCAAACCAGACGTGACACGACACGTTCCAGGAGTCTGTTCCTCACTGGAAGTTAAAATGCTGCATGACACGACACAATCTCAGCCAATTCTCATATCCAATATACTGTAAATATAATTTTCACTGTATCAATAGTTTTGCAAACACAAGCAGAAAAAGTACACTACCGTTCAAAAGTTTGGTTTAAGATTTCTTTTGTTTTGAAATATATTGAGTTGACTCTTTTATTCAACAAGTACGCAATAAATTGATCGAAAGTGACAGTACAGACATTTATAAGGTTACAAAAGATTCTATTTCAAATTATTGCTGTGCTTTTGAACTTTCTATTCATCAAAGAATCCTGAGAAAAAAAATGTTTCCAAAAAGATATGAATTGTTTTCAACATTAATAATAATCATTAATGTGTCTTGAGCATCAAATCATCAAATTTGAGTGATTTCTGAAGGATCATGTGACACTGAAGACTGGAGTAATGATGCTGAAAATCCAGCTTTGATCACTGGAATAAATTACATTTTATTATTATTATTATTATTAAGTTTATTTAGATAGGGAGAGACACAAATAACATAGATAAACTTTAACAGTCATCTGATGTATGTATCATAGTGTTCTTAGCTAAAGCTAATTCACGACACTTGTCCCTAGTAGGGCTTTTTGATAAAAAATACAGTTTAACATTATTAAAAAGAAGAAAGAGAGAGAAAAAAATACAATTGAAGAAAATAAAAAAGGACAAAACATCCACAGAGATAGCAAAGTGTAAAGACTAAATATGAGAGCAATATTGTTCCTGAATTAACCACGATTTGGTGTTTTTTTAAGGAGGCTAATATTGGGATATATACTATACTATTACTATATATTCACATAGAAAAAAGCTGTTTTAAAGGAGTAGTTCACTTTTAAAAAAACTTTTGCTGATAATTTACTCACCCCCATGTCATCCAAGATGTCCATGTCTTTCTTTCTTCAGTCGAAAAGAAATTAAGGTTTTTGATGAAAACATTCCAGGATTTTCTCCATATAATGCATTTTTGCTGGGCACCAAACGGTTCAAGGTCTAAAAGACAGTTTCAGTGCAAACTGCAAACTGTTCAAAGGGCTTTAAACGACTCCAGACGATGAATAAGGGTCTTATCAAGCGAAACGATCGCTCATTTATAAAAATAAATAACAAAGTTTAAGTTTTATAAGCTCAAATGCCCGCCTTGCTCTGTTCTGTGTGACTCTCCTGTTCGAACTCGTTCATCAAAATGAACAAATCTTTTTCCGAGTCAATTCGTTCATTTCGTTCGTTAAATGAATCAAATGACTCGAAAAAAGATTTGTTCATTTTGATGCCCAGTAAAGTGCATTATATGGAGAAAAATCCTGGAATGTTTTCATCAAAAACCTTAATTTCTTGGAAAGACATGGACATCTTGGATGACATTGGGGTGAGTAAATTATCAGCAAAAGTTTTTTTAAAAGTCAACTACTCCTTTAAATTGTAATAATATTTCAATTTTTACTGTATTTTAGATCAAATAATTGCAGCCTTAATTGGTGAGCATAAAAGACGTACCGATTCCAAACTTTTGAATTGTAGTGTGACAGTACATTATGTATGGATTGCTATATCATACTGATTACTGTAACACATTATGATACAGAACACATTATGCAATGATACATAATGCCATTTTGCATTTTAATGCAATTTAAAGTGTGAACGTAACTCACCTTTAAAGTCAAGCACATTGCATTGTGAGATACAGTACGCTCTGATAATGCACTACACATTTGATTTCGGTCAATCATCCGGGAATCCCATGCATGCACACAAGACACAAACTGTGTACAGTACACTGCAAAAATAGTATACTAGTGTGCGTAGATGGCTATTCTGAACATATGAAATGCCGAGACACCCCACCCCAGACGGCTTCATTCCAGCTCAGATCTTCACTCTTCTGGTCAAATTGAATATTTGCACTTAACTAAATTAAAATCATAAGCGCTTGCAGCTGTTTTTATGGCTTTCAGTCAGGAAGTGAAGTCATGCCGTATTTCTGGGATGATGAAAGTGTGATATTCACTCTAGAAAATGTTTCTCTCGGTTGGACAGACTCCAGATAATTCAGTGAGATCAAGTGAGACGCTAATGAAAAGAAAAGCCTGTATTGGCTACTGAGGGACCAGACTTTATCTAAGCACACGCTGCTTATAGTAAACAGTTTAAATATGGAAACACACACACACTTCAGTTCAGTCTCTTGATTCTGAAATGCATTGACACTGAGATATTTTTAAACATGACTTAACCCAGTTAACAGAACGTTCTCTCAAAGTTATGAACAAATGTTCTTTCAGTAACAATAATAGAGCGTTCAACCAAAGTTATCTGGTCTTTAATAATGTTCTCAAAACGTTAGCACAAAAAACATTATTTATGCATATAGTTTTTAGTTGGACGTTCGCCTAACATTTTTAAATGTTACTACTTGTTTCAGAACATTCCGAGAACATTCAAAAGTAACATTCCCATAATATAAGAATTATAAAATGGAATGTTCCTTTAACATTCACTGAACCAAAAAAGTTTTTAAAACGTTTAAGAAATCTCTGCGTTTTCATAACTTTATTAGAATGTTAGCAAAACTTTTGGTAACACTTTACTTAAAGCCTTTATGAATAATGCATTATAAAGGTATATTATGTATAATGCATTATATCTTTTCATAAACAATTGTTAAAATGCTTGATCATATTTGTAGATTCCTTGTTACATCTGAAATTGGTTTTAATGCATTATACTTTCTAAAGGCAAAACACAAGTATCATATTGTATTATAACTGTACAGTTATTCATTAGACCACATAGTGCCTCATTCAAAAGCATAATAATTAATGCATTAAAAATACTTTTAGAACGCTACCCATATTTTTGCATTATAAAGATATGTATTTAAATAGGTATTATTTATGTATAATGCATTATATCAAAAAAGCATGGTAATATTTGTAGATTCCTTGTTACATCTGAAATTTTTTTTAATGCATTATACTTTCTAAAGGCAAAACACAAGTATCATATTGTATTATAACTGTACAGTTATTCATTAGACCACATAGTGCCTCATTCAAAAGCATAATAATTCATGCATTAAAAATACTTTTAGAACGCTATCCATATTTTTGCATTATAAAGATATGTATATAAATAGGTATTATTTATTTATAATGCATTATATCAAAAACGCATGGTAATATTTGTAGATTCCTTGTTACATCTTAAATTGGTTTTAATGCATTATACTTTCTAAAGGCATAACATTATTAAATTGCATTATAAACATGGTTACAATTATTCATGAGATCACACATAATGTGCAATATAAATGATATTAAAAAAATCTGTAAAGCTGCTTTGAAACGATGTGTATTGTGAAAAGCGCTATACAAATAAATTGAATTATAAGGCATAATTAATGCATTAAAAAATACTTTTAGAACGCTACCCATATTTGTGTTAGCTGAGAAGTGCGCACACACTTTTTGGGACTACATCAGTTCGGTCCTGTGTGTTTTCAGGAACATTTTTGTGTGTGGGCGATGAGCGGCATTCCTGGCACAGCGTGTTTCGGGAGTCACAGTGTATAGCCGATCCGATGGATTCCCGACGCTCCCACGGAAACCAGAGGGCCCGGGTCGGGCTGTCGGGATCTGTTGTCTTTGACGCCGCTCCAGGTTCTTGTGTTTGTCCAGTCAGGCTGCAAGAACAACTGCATGCTTCCCTGTCGCCCGACCCGGGACCCGGCACCTGGAAACAGAACGACCCGAGTCACCAGCGGGAAGAATCTGCATCTCGTCTTTTAAAGGATGATCGCTTTGTGTCCCAAAGGCCAGGAATGTAGACGTTTAGATCAGCAGTGGCAGCACAGACAGATTTATATCTGGTGTTTCTTTTGCCTTCACTGTGTGTGTAACGGTTAAACCCACAAACACTTCAAGCGAGAACACTGGGAAAAACCGAAACGCCATTTCTGTCTAAACCCAAACCCTAACACATCATTAACCCTGATTATGTGTGAAATTGAAGTGCAATTTTTGAGTTTCCACACTATGTATCATAATATTTCATTGCGTTCTCTTTCACTTAATATGTTTCAGTGAAGTATCAATGTCGTTTGTCTTAAAAAATCCTTTGGAGAAAGAAACAAATTGTGATCAAATACAGGTGAAACTCAAAAATTAGAATATGGTGCAAAAGTTCATTTATTTCAGTAATTCAACTTAAAAGGTGAAACTAATATATTATATAGACTCATTACATGCAAAGTGAGATATTTCAAGCCTTTATTTGTTATAATTGTGATGATTATGGCTTACAGCTTATGAAAACCCCAAATTCAAAATTAGAATATTGTGAAAAGGTTTTCATATCTGTAATCCATAATCAAAATTATAACAAATAAAGGCTTGAAATATCTCACTTTGCATGTAATGAGTCTATATAATATATTAGTTTCACCTTTTAAGTTGAATTACTGAAATAAATCAACTTTTGCATGAGTTTCACCGGTATATTAGTGGAGTAATGTAGGGAATAGTGATTTCGAACAGTCCGTGGAATCTAATATAGTTATAGTTTTGGTTTTTGGTTTGAACGGGCCTTTGATTGTAGGCAAATCTGAGCACAGTTTGAGAAGTTGTTGAGATCTCTTCTGAAACTCAACGTGAGATTACTGGAGCTTTTTTAGGAGACTTTATCTTCAAGTCTCAATTCGCTTGTCTGTTCAGAAGAAAACATCGAGATACTAAAGAGATTTCAAAATGCATGAACAAGCTTACATGAAGGCACTTGCGCTGTGCTATGAATTATGTATTTTCATAATGCAATGGTGTGTTTGCATTCGCGTACTAAAGCAGAGATGTGGAGTTGATCCTAACAGTTGGTTTGGGTTAAACCAAATCATCCAAAGATGAGCTGTATTTTTCCGCCTGTTACTCATCAGAAAAATCATGACCTCCTCCCTGTTTCCTTCCTTTGCTTTTTATTTTTCCTACCGTTTCCACAATGAAAACCAATGGTATTACAAGACCAGAC